GGGCGAGCAATGTCAGCTCGGCCCTAACGCACATTGGGCAAAACACCAACTGTTTGTATGGGCGAGCAATGTCAGCTCGGCCCTAACGCACATTGGGCAAAACACCAACTGTTTGTATGGGCGAGCAATGTCAGCTCGGTCCTAACACACGTTGGGCAAAACACCAACTGTTTGTATGGGCGAGCAATGTCAGCTCGGTCCTAACACACGTTGGGCAAAACACCAACTGTTTGTATGGGCGAGCAATGTCAGCTCGGTCCTAACACACGTTGGGCAAAACACCAACTGTTTGTATGGGCGAGCAATGTCAGCTCGGTCCTAACACACGTTGGGCAAAACACCAACTGTTTGTATGGGCGAGCAATGTCAGCTCGGTCCTAACACACGTTGGGCAAAACACCAACTGTTTGTATGGGCGAGCAATGTCAGCTCGGTCCTAACACACGTTGGGCAAAACACCAACTGTTTGTATGGGCGAGCAATGTCAGCTCGGTCCTAACACACGTTGGGCAAAACACCAACTGTTTGTATGGGCGAGCAATGTCAGCTCGGTCCTAACACACGTTGGGCAAAACACCAACTGTTTGTATGGGCGAGCAATGTCAGCTCGGTCCTAACACACGTTGGGCAAAACACCAACTGTTTGTATGGGCGAGCAATGTCAGCTCGGTCCTAACACACGTTGGGCAAAACACCAACTGTTTGTATGGGCGAGCAATGTCAGCTCGGTCCTAACACACGTTGGGCAAAACACCAACTGTTTGTATGGGCGAGCAATGTCAGCTCGGTCCTAACACACGTTGGGCAAAACACCAACTGTTTGTATGGGCGAGCAATGTCAGCTCGGTCCTAACACACGTTGGGCAAAACACCAACTGTTTGTATGGGCGAGCAATGTCAGCTCGGTCCTAACACACGTTGGGCAAAACACCAACTGTTTGTATGGGCGAGCAATGTCAGCTCGGTCCTAACACACGTTGGGCAAAACACCAACTGTTTGTTCAGTTGAGCAATGTTAGCTCGGTCCTAACACAAGTTGGACAAAACACTAACTGTTTGCACGGCCAAAGTCAAGCCGTTGTTGACTACCTGCCCCTGGCACTATAGTAGCTTAATATTCTTGCAATATCTTTGTATAGAAGCGCATAGTATAAGAAAAAGATGGGGCTATCTTCCATTACACGTCACTGATTTACACCAAATGCCAAAAGGCCAAGTTACAAGAAGTAAAAGAATAGAAAAGATTACATTTCAAAAGTAAAATATCTTGAGATTGGCTGCATTCCATGGTCTGGGGACAACTTTACCATCTAAGTCTTCCAGGTGGTATGCCCCTTTGCCTGCAAGGCCAGTTACCTTGTATGGCGCTTCCCAATTTGCTCATAATTTGCCTTCACCAAGGATCATTGTGTTGCCCATTGCCTTCCTCAAGACGCAGTCTCTGATCCTGAATAGCCTAGGATTCATGGTCTTGTTATATTTTCTGGAGAGCTCTTGCTGGTAAGTTGCTATGTGGATTAGAGCCCATTCCCTTTTTTCTTCAGCTAGGTCAAGTTCCAGGGCCACAGCTTCATTGTTCAAGTCTGGCTGAAAACTTTTAGATCGGATGGTTGGCATGCCAATTTCCAATGGTATGACCGTCTCCATGCCGTAGGGCAAGGAAAATGGAGTTTCCCCGGTTGACCGCCTTGGTGTAGTGAGGTATGCCCATAGCACATTGGGGAGTTCTTCAAGGCACTTCCCTTTGGCCTTCTCCAATCGTTTCTTCAGCCCGTCTAGGATGGTCTTGTTTGAAGCTTCTGCTTGACCATTTAACTGAGGGTAGGCCGGTGTGGAGTTGTAAAACTCAATCTTTAACTCTTCGCAAAATCCGCAAAAGAGTGTCCCATCGAACTGAGTGCCATTATTCGAAATGAGGGCCTTTGGGATACCGAAGCGAGTGATGAAATTCTGCCAAACAAATTTTTTTACATCTTTTTCCTTGATGGTTGCCAACGGCTCGGCCTCTACCCACTTAGTGAAGTAGTTGGTAGCAGCGATGAAAAACTTACGATTGCCCGGAGTTGTTGGGAGTGGTCCCACAATATCCAACCCCCAAAGTGCGAACGACCAAGGACTTGTAAGGAGGAACAACTCTCTGGCCGGCTGGTGGATTTGGTGAGCAAATTTTTGACATTTTTCACACCAGCGAACGTATTTCTGTGCGTTCGCCTGCATGCACGGCCACAAATAACCTTGGGAAATCGCTCGGTAAGCCAAAGACCTGCCCCTAGTATGACTTCCGCAGATGCCTTCATGGATCTCATAGAGGAAAGCTTCCACCTTGTCGGGGTGGATGCACTTCAGATACGGCCCGATAAAAGACTTCTTGTATATGGCCCCGGATGGAGAGAGCCAAAACCGCTCTGATTTGGCTCGGATCTTGTTGGCCGCCTTCTTCTCTTCTGGCAAAACTCTATCTTTTAGGAAGGCGATGATGGGGTCCATCCAGAATGGTCCCAGATCGGTGCAGAGTACCTCAAACACTTCTGGTTCCTCAATGCATGGCCGAGGTAGGAATTTTATCATAAAAGGATTGAGGAAAGCTGTTTGTGTAGACGCAAGGCCAGCTAGTTCGTCAGCTGCATTATTTTCTTCACGGTTGATTTGTTCTACTCTTATCGCGGTGAACTTCTTGATTTCTGCGCGCACCAGCGCCTGATACTTAGCCATTCTTTCATCCCTGGCTTCATACTCCACAGAGACCTGATTGACCACCAGCTTGGAGTCGCTGAATACCAAAAGAGCCGACGCTTTCATTCTTATAGCACTTCTCAGTCTGGCAAGAAGGGCCTCGTATTCCGCCTCGTTGTTGGACGCCGGGAAGCCTAGCGGTGGGCCTTAAGGTCATCATCGAAGCCTTAGCCCGCCATCTGGTCACGAATTCTGAGAAGCTCTCTTTGGGTTCTTGCCTCGTTGTCTCGAGATCCCGGGTCGTAATCTCGATTTGTGTATTGTATGAGTACTGCAAGATGAAGGCCTCAGCCATTTCGTCCCAGCTTCTCTTGACGTCATCCTCTAATTTGGCATACCATATGGCCGCTACACCCGACAGGGTCCGGCCAAATAGAGACAGCTTCTGCAGTCTAGTGAGGCCCATTGGCCTTAGGATATCTGAAAACAACCTCAGGTGCACCATGGGGTCCCCGGACCCATCAAATCGATCAATGTGCGGCATTTTGAATCTGTCAGGCAGCGTCACAGCTGTGTTGGTGTATCCATCTTCGATGTCAGGGATGGTCTTGACTCCCCGGGATCTCTTGAACAGCTTTTCGAGCTTGCTGAACTATAATGCTGTAGGGTCTGTCTCGAACTCAAAGGGAGAGTCCGGTAGGTTGGTGGGTGTTTTGGATAACTGGGGTTGGATTTGGGGTAGGATCGGGGGTAGAGGTTGTCCCGTGGGAATGTCCGCATCATTCTGAACATTAGCTGTTCCCCCGGGGGTTGGAATTCCTGGCGGGGGAGGGACTTGCTGTGAAGCAGATGCTCCGGTTTGCTGCTGTAACCTCACGATTAACTCTGCTTGTTCATTCATAACCGTGGCCTGCTGTTTGGCGAACTCTGCCTGTCGGACAGCATCCTGCTGCATCACTTTCATGCTTTCTTGGAGTTGGCGCACCATCTCCTCTAAACTAGCCATACTGTTCTGTTCTGACTGAATTATCGGTATATGTTCCCTCTCTGTGGGTGAAATAGAACCCTGATCCCTACTGTACTCTGGTGGGGTAGATAAGGCCCTCTGAACTGACTGCAGAACTGATGCCCTTGGCCTAACTGCCCTCCGTTTAGTAACCGGGGGTAAAGAATGGTACACTGGTTGTCCGTCTACCAGATCCTCAGATCGATGGAGCCGACGGCCTCCAATCCAGAGTGCTTGGGGAATATCTACCAGGTTGGAAGCAATTCTGCTAAACTACCTAGCAAAATAAATAAATAAATAAATAAAGCAATAAATAACCAGACAATCGGACAGCATAACGGCGTAAAATAAACACATACAACACACAGTTGGGTATTCATAACACATAGTTGATAAGCCGAACACACTGTTCCTCGATACTGATCATTGTTCTCAAATCGCTGTTCCCAAAACTGAACTTGATACCCGCGGATAACTGATTTCTCAACAACACTGATACTGGTGCCCCCGGGCCTAATACTCAATCTTGCAAACTGATATGTACGTTCCTGTAGAGATACACTCTAAAAGCACATAGCAAGTAAAGAGAGCCAAAACACCCCTATGTTGGGGTAGGGTTTCCCTGTCCTATTTTGTCAGGAGCTAGGGTTCCACTATGCACGCAGCAGTTTTCAAACAACCTAACATCGGGTAAGCAACCTGTCCTAGCTTGGAATGGTCACTATGGATCCGAATATGCACTAGGTCGAATGGTCGAAAAGGGTGCCCCCGGTAAAACCGGGGTTTGTGTTCCCATACTGTCAGATTCTTTTCATTTTCTTTTGTTCATTTCTTTTTCTTTTCTTTTTCGTATATTCTTGTCTTTTCTTTTCTTCGCGCCCGCGTGGGGCCCTTGCTACAGTTCGGACTCGATTTTGTGTCACGGTTCCTTAATCTGATCAAAGAGTCCAAATCCGGGCAAATCGTTTTGAGAAACAGATTTTTGAAAAGAAGTGACAAACATGGGCTGCTTTTCCAGATACAGAGTCGCCACCTAAATATATTTTTTATGGGGGAATTTAGGAAACCCTGACTCGGTGCCAAAGCCCATGTGTCTGTCATCACCAAAGTTGCCTCGGCTCGGGAGCTTGGGTACGATTGGGGAAGGTCAGCTATGAGCACCCCCTCTCGCCCGATCCAAATATCGGCCTCTACTAACCATGATATCCGATTTTGAAAACGTTGTGTCTTCTTATTCCGGTTATTAGCCTAGAATTACTATGTTATGCGCACAGCAAACAAGTATAGACCAAATCACCTAAATTGGAACAAACCATAGCATGTTTGTTTTGAAAATGGTTTGCTACTTGCAAGTAGGCTAAAATGCAGGTTTTGCCACCCTCGAGTGGGTTTTTAGAAAAGATGGTTTTGCCACTATCTAGTGGGCTTAAAATTCATAGTTTTAATGCGTTATTCCAATTTAAGCAATTCGACCTCCATCCACAGGCATTCAAGCAGTTATATCACATAAGCAGCTAGCCTCATGGTAATCATGCAATTATGGCAACACTTACACGCATGCGGCATGCTAAAGCATAAAAGCTCACCTAGTACTCCAAGCCAAAACAGAAACCAGTTAGTAATCACATGCATGATCCTAGTTCATATTTGAAATGGCTAATGCAACACATGCAAAGATGCAATCCAAACAGGCTCGGCTATCCTAAACATGGCATGTGAAATGCTGCAACTAACAATTACTCAACTTGGAATTGAAATACGAGTGCAGTTAGCATGATGTACCGAGCCTGGTGCATGTAAGACAAATGTATGGATGCACGCATGCTAAGCATAAGGTATGCTAATTTAAATATGCCTAGTCTACCATCATAAGCAAGTGAATAAAAGGGATGAAAGACGTGGGATTGGAAGACATGCACACACACACCTACACTTATTACAAATTTGCCCTCGCTCAGAGGGACCAAAAGAATAATACAATCCGAATAATGAATTACCTATCCTAGCTAATTAATTATTACAGACCCTCTAATTTAACAAATTAAATGCAGAATAGAGATGGCCGCAGCCCTGCCTCGGGATACGCGAATGATGTATGCTCGATCTATCTTGTCCGGAAACCCGTGCCACGCCACTGCTGCCTCTGTTAATGCTGCCCTGCTCCTCTGAAAATTGCCAAAGTCTTGGAATATGTTCTCTACACACTATAGAACACCATCGGCTAAGAGAAATAACCACCGGCCATGGGAAATTTCCATCGGCTTCTTTCAAGTCTATCGGCCACATATTCTTTGCCGGTCGGCATTCTTCAGTGCCGGTCGGCAGAAACTTCCTGCAGAAGCTGGTTTTTGACAGCAACAAGGACAGACAGTGCATGGCATAGAATTTCAAGCACATGTAAGCATGGTCATGTTCCTTATCATGTATTGAACTCAGGGGAGCATGGTCCTTGATCCTTGGGCCATCAATTGGGCATGATAGCCTAAGGGACCAAACTTGCCATTTAATGTAAAATGCATGCAACACACAAATGAGGACCAAGACCCTATCATGTCAAAGTCAAGGGCCTCGGTGACCGAGGGTTGAGATGTGTTTCATCACTTGTAGTATGAACACCTCTCACCCTCACACTAGGTTTGACACCCCAAACCAAGCAATGCAATGCATATATACAAACTTGGCTCAAATGCACAACATGAGGTTAAAATGCAAAACATGCCAAATGTAATGCAACCTAAACATGCAAACTAAGTTAGTGCATTCTAAATGTGCCAAGTATGGTACAATGTATATGATGCAACAAGATAAATGCCATGCCAACATGCAAGTATGATACAATGTAAGCATGAGGACCAAAACAATGCAACATGATCATGCAATGGGGGTGCTAAACCATGAAGGGTAGACCTCAGTCCATCCCAAAACAGTGACCAAAAAGTGTCCAAAATGATGAAGAAGCACTCATGCCAACATGCAAGCCAAAGGGGTCCAAAGCTAAGGCACAAACAAGGGGCATTCTACTACAATCATCATGACCACTCATGGCATGGACTAAGCGACCAAAAACAGATGTTCAATGCAGCAAAATACACCCAAAAACCCGCTGATATGGCAGCCCCAAGATGTCTTAAACATACAAGCATGCACCAGATACAGAGTCGCCACCTAAATATATTTTTTATGGGGGAATTTAGGAAACCCTGACTCGGTGCCAAAAGGCCACGTGTCCGTCATCACCAAAGTTGCCTCGACTCGGGAACTT